AACGGTAACTGTAACGGAATACAGTTACTCATATTTTGTATTTTAAATACGTAACGGCGGTACATGTATTCCGTTACTCCCCAACACTGCTTGCTAGTACCAACTTAGCCCTCTTTTTCCTCCAGAGCAGAATTAATTTGTCATGGCACTGATTCAACAAGGTGCTGGAACCATTCCTAAGAAATTTTGGCCCACACTGACATGACAACATCACACAGTCACTGCATATTTGTCAGCTGTTCCTCCATGTTATGAATCTCCTGTTGGAAGCAGCCATGAGAGGATGGGTACAATGTGATCATAAAGACCATGGTCAGCAACAGTAATTGGGTAGACTGTGGAGTTTAAACATCAGTCAGTTGGTACTAAGGGGCCCTACATGTGCCAAGCAGTATCCCCCACACCATCATGCTACCACCAGCCTGACCTGCTGATACAAGGCAGGATGGAGCGATGCTTTCATGTTGTTTACAGCCAAATCTGATCCTGATATCTGAATGTGGCAGTAGAAATCCAGAGTCATTAGACCCGGCAACCTTTCCCCCCATTGTCTTCTATTTTATAGTTTTGGGAAATTGTAGTTTCCTGATCTTAGCTGACTAAAGTGTCACCTCAGGTGGACACTTGCTTTTGTAGCTCATCTGCATGAAGGCTTGATGTGCTATGCTTTGAGAGATGTTCTTGATTGCAATGAGTGGTTATTTGAGTAACTCTGAACTGAGAAGATTTACACTAAACATAACAGAAACGGGGAAACAAGACAAACAGGGAGGAACAGGCAGGGAAATGCCATGAGACTGAAATATGAGAGGATTCAAAAAATGGGAACCAGAACCTTTACCTTACAAAAATGAAAACTTGGCGTCTGTAGTGCTTTGATATTGAAGCCTCACACGAATAGATTCACAATGAAAACAAAACAGGAACCCCAAATCTAAAATAACAGAACCCCACGATGATTACTCGCCACCTCCCTGCACCCATATGTCATTTGTTCGCTAATTAATTTAATTTGACTAAAAAAAAAAAAAAGTAAGTTCAAAATGTCAGTGTTCAGATGATCCTGGTCCGTTACTTCTTCCAAAACAAACACAGCTTGATTAATACTAGGAAACACGTTAACGGATTTCGGTGCCCACACTACACCCAAGCTGGAAAATTGCATTTCACCACAAGATCACAAGTTTGACACGG